AGTCTTATATACCTAAAATAATTAATACATTTTTATGTATGCTTTATAAAATATACTATATTTACTATACAATAGTCCTTAATCACGATAATACGTTATTTCTCCATTTAGTTATAATCGATCGGCCAGGAGGAGCGTATTTTAGGATTGCTCACGTGCTATTTTTACTATTTTAATGCAAAAACTGCTTGATTTGAGGCCTTCTAAAGAAGAATTCCTGGATTTGCTGAATAGTAATGCTCATACATTGGGAAAAATCTTCGTTGACGACTGGGCCGAACTCCTGTCTGAAATTTATGGAAATGACATATCGACTTATCCTATATGCCAGCGCAAGCTTAATATTTTTATTAATATCTCTTGGGAGCGCATAAATATTGGACATTGGAAGAATGTGCCTGATGGATGGAGAATAGCCTATTCATGTTCCAGAATTTTGAACGCGTTCATGCACATTCAACCATGTATAGATGAAATTAACTCTTCTGCACTAAAAATGGCCATAAAAGATATTGACATGGCTTTAATCCTTGGGATTCCTATATTCACTGGAATGGCCAATAAGGTGGCTAAGCTGATACAAGAAATGCTCTTCAATCTTGAAGGATCAATTTGTACATCTATCAGACATATTCAAACTACGATTTTTGACGTTGAGTCCGTGTATAATTTAATTAACAAAAAGTTGATTCTTCTTGAACGATATTCTAAACCTAGTATTGAATGTTTCTCTCGTCTTCTAAAGGTTGGCAAGCCATTTATATTGACTGGAAGTATGAATAGCTGGCCAGCCTTCACTTCTCAAGAGCACCAGTGGTCTCTTTATTACTTGTCCAAAGTTGCTGGGTTTCGCACTGTACCTATCGAACTAGGCTCGAAATATACTGATTCTGAATGGGGGCAGAAATTGATGACTATAAATGACTTCATAAAAAACTACATTTTGAACCAAAATGCCGCCGATAAAATTGGTTACTTGGCTCAACACCAACTCTTTCTTCAAATCCCAGAATTGTTTGAAGATTTGGTCACGCCTGATTATTGCTTTTGTTGCACTCTGGAAGATAACAATGGGGAAGTCGATAGTAATATTTGGTTCGGTCCCTCTGGTACCATATCACCACTTCATCATGATGGAGAAAAAGCCAATCTCTTGGCCCAGATCTCTGGCTCTAAATATGTAATTCTTTACACATATGAGCAAACAGCTTCGCTATACCCTTGTGCTGACGAGATGCTTCAAAATACTTCGCAAGTTGATGCGGAACATCCAGATCCTTCTTTGTACCCTAAATTTGAAGAGGCGTTTGGCTTCCATGGCATACTTAACGCTGGCGAGATGCTTTTTATTCCTCCAAGCTGTTGGCACTACATTAGATCCCTGTCTACAAGCATCTCAGTAAATTTCTGGTGGAATTTAGACAAATCTCTTTTCACTGATCCGGTTTTGTAGAACCTTCTTGAGCTTATCTATGCTTCTACTCTATTTTTAATTAATCTTCCGTGGAAAATATTTTTGTTCATATTTGACTTGGTGTATTGATTTTTATTTGATTAATGTCCCACTTTAGTAGCTTCTCAATCCTGATGTATTATCTTTAGGCGGTAAGTCAGGAATTTACCTATCTCATCTATCATTGCTCAAGATTGCTCTGGAGTCGCTTGTCATGTTCATATACCTTCGTTTCGCATTATTATCTTCACCAACTAGAGCCTTTTTTATAGTTAAAATATTTTATAAAATGTGGTATTATCTGCGAATCCCATTGCATAATGACGGTACATGATTATTCCCTTGATAGTTGAGGCGCTGGCCAGCGAGTAACTAAACTGAAACTTTTGACTACTCAAGATGAATTCGCATGCGAGCTTTGCCCTGACTAGGCCTTCAAAATATCCCTGGAGATACCTAAACCCTGTATTTGCTGATCCTTGGACTTGGCGCATTAATTCATTATGAGCGTTGAAACTCTTACCAAAAGTAATTTTTTAGTTGCTAATCAACCAATAATGGAGGGAAGAATCTAGAGTTCCACTAAATGTTGCTACTTATTTGTCGTATAGGAAGGGTAATCTATGTATATTTAAGAAGCTTTTTTCTTAGTCAGACAAGAATAACTCGAGCCTGCAGTTTAAGTTCTCTACATTCGGTGTCTTTTTAAATGTTGGACTATAGAAGGCTGTATGTGCATAAAATGAGGCAAATCATATATAAAAATTTTCAAATAAATAATGAAGTGGAGTTAAAATTAGGCAGGTGGTTTTGTGAAAACAAATTAAATTATTCACTGCTTTGTGTTCATGTACAAGAATGGAACCTTGTGCACGAGCAGTGATTGCTTGGTGAACTGCTATCCATGCCAGTATTGTGCATCGCAGAAGTGAATTGATCAGGTCTAGCAAAGTAATTTCTTGCCGAATATGTTGATTGTGTTGAACAGAGGTTACGCTGAAATGTCAAAAAGTACTCCCGGTAGGATCTTTGCGTTTGTATCTCTGATATGGTCGGTTGTTCTTCCGGGTATGTCACGCTATCTCGTAATCCAACTTCAAGCTGCCTACTCCCACAGCAAGGACACTTTGGTCTCTGATAAAACGGTAGCTCAATTACGTCATGGTCTAGTTTTGTTTGTTGAACAAATGAACTTTTAATTAAAGCCAGTTTATCAGAATTTGACGGCTCACTTCTATGTTCATCTTGCTCTCTGGACATGTCTAATCCGTTAGTTCTCTACTGTTCGTTCTACCATGAGATTATGAGGCAGCGCATGGCCAACTTGTATTTGGGTCTCGATCGATAGTTGCACCTGCTTAAAAATACGAATAGATTGCAGTTACTGAACAGAGTTACTCATAGTATAATTTGAGTGGGACTTAATGGACAACCAGACTCATGAGCCTGTTGTAAATCATCA